CAATTACCCACCAGGACAATTACCCCCACCCCCGGACGATTACCCCTAGCCCCTCCCACACACACCGTACAGTAATGATGATCTCATCTAACGGACCAACTTCATGATTTCATAATTTCAACTTCAACGTTCGCTGATACTGCCGATATTTTGACTTATTTGCGACATTTTCCGATACCGCGATTTGAAGTTCATATCGCGAAGTATCGGCCTTCACCTGCGCATCAGCAGCGGGAGCGAAGCACAGCCGCCAATGCACACTTACATGTCTAGACATTTTCTGGATCGCTTAATACAATAAATAACATCACATTTATTTTACGTGCTCGCCACGCCGGCGATCGCTGCAGTCGCCGCGTCGCGTTATTCTTGTAGTGTTGTTCTTGTTATTCTTCAAGTAAATTTATTGTTATTAAGATAATACGCGCTATTGCAAATTCGCGTAATGTAAACTCGCGTAAATCAAGAAACAGCAGCGACGCGACAACCACTTAATTACCTTTCCGTACATTAAGTAATACTTTGCCTGCGCGACAGTGCTGGCGATACTTGCTACTAATATTTTATTAATATACATATTTGGAGTTACATCACATGCGAACAATATTTTGAGGTTTTAATGAGAAATGCATGTTAAAATTGATAAACAGTTTATACATGCATAAGCACCCATACATGTAGACTACTCCAAAATAGTATGACGTACATTTTTACATGGGCGAATCCGGCTTTTTGAAAAAGGGGGGTCCAGCAAGAAATAAAGAGCACTTTTATAAAAAGGTGCCGAAGGCAGCTTATGCATGCGACATGTCTAAGGCACGTTGCCACTTAAGGGGGGGGGTTAGGGGGACCTCCCCAAAGAAATTTTTTTTAAATTGGCGCATTCTGAGAGCATCTGAGCAGTAATTTTGATGTCTAGAATGCAAGATGGAATTCCAAATTTTTAAGCAGAAAATTATCTTTTATGTGTTTTCCCTTTTTGGGGTAAAAAAAGGGGGGGGGTCCGGCCCCCCTGGACCCCCCTCTTGATACACATACCACATCCAACTGAAAAACAACTTTACTGAAATGAAATCTGTGATAGTAATGGTAGGGGCACACGAGCGATTTTATCGCCCGATCGCCGCGGAATTTTGAAAATCGCTCGAAGAAATCGCCCGTGTGCCCGTTCAGCGTCGACGCGCGAGTCTTTAATCGGCCGACCGAATCGCCCGTATCCAAAAAGTTTAGATATTTTCGGGCGATTATTTACGCCGGGCGATTATTATCGCTCGTGTGCCCGTGACCGGCGTTTTTTTGTCGCCCGATCGATTTTTCTAAACCAATCGGACGTGTTTGTTGATATCATGTGATGTTAAATGTTCTGTCAAGTGGCGTACGCGTACGCTCTCAAATTCGCTACGTCACGTGTGCCCCTTCGTGATCGGGCGATAAAAATCGCTACGTGTGCCCCTTGTGATCGGGCGATTAAATTCGCTGGCAATTTTAATCGCCGCGATCGGGCGATAAAAATCGCTCGTGTGCCCCTAGCATAAAGAGTATATTACGTTCATTTAAAGTAAGGGGTGGGGGTCTGATTCAGAAATTTTTGAAAATTGGGTCACCTGAAATGTAAATTCCTGCATTCTGAGAAGGATACATACAATTCTGGATTCAGAAAAATGAAAAGCCCTCAAAAATAGAAAAAAATAGGAATTTGTCCAGAAAATAGGAGAAAATGGAATATGCCCAGAAAATAGGAAAAATAGGAAAAATCGGAACTTGACGGTTGACGCCCTGTTAGATGTATATATTGCGATATAATGGAAAAATTATGTGTTTTCATAATGTACATTATCACACCTGTATCACATAAAAACTCAAATCTTGTATACATTCAGAGATGCAATGTGAAAACAATGATTTAAAAACCTCATATTAGACAATTCAGTTATGATTTTGAAACTTATTCACAATTCTATTCATTACACAAGCATTCAGAATGACCATTGTTTCATTTTTGGCCGCACTGTCTAATTATTGTTATAACTATTCATAAGTGAAGAAGGGATGTACACAATGCAAATATACAGTACTTCCACAGTGGCAGATTACATGACCTTTAAAAGCAATTTTATATATCACGCTGTAAAAATTGACAATTAAGTACGTATATTTTTTGCAGTAAACTAGTGATGTATTTGCCATGTGGTCAAATTGCTGATAAATATCATCAATCCTACTAAAATATAAGCTAGGAAAAAATGCAGATAGATGATCTTAGAATTAATGCGTCAAATTGCACCATTTTGCATCAAAATAAAAAAGATTTTCGGGGGGCATGCCCCCTCCCCCCACTTCACACAAGTATTAACACTTGTAATAAATTCTTGTAAATCAGTATATTCACTCACTTACACATACACGCACGCACACAGACACGCACGCACGCACTCACACAGCCAGCCACATATATACGCACACACGCACAAACAGTTACATAACATAACGTACATGGCCAAGAGCAAGATCATTTAGGGATACAACATTTCCGTCATTATAGGAGGAGTAGAGGCGACTCCCCCCACCCCGTCCCAATTATCGACGCCGCTGTTCTCTGAACACATGGGGTAGGCATTTCTGTCTTTTTCAGACATACATTATGTATTGCAGCGGACACAAATTTACGAAGGAGAATTTTTCCCTTTGGAAGGTTAGGTGGGTAATTGTCCTGGTGGGTAATTGTCCTGGGTGGGTAATTGTCCTGGTGGTAATTGTCCGGGGGTTAATTGTCCTGGAGGGTAATTGTCCTGGTGGTAATTGTCGCGGCGTGGGTAATTCGTCCGGGTGGGTAATTGTCCTGGTGGTAATTTGTCGGCGGGTGGTAATTGTCCGGTGGGTAATTGTCCAGGGGGTAGTTGTCCTAGAATCGTGTAGAGTCTGTGTAAATATGAGTATAGGGGAGTAATAACAGTCGTAGAGCCTATAGTCGGGTAGCTCTAGTACTATAGCCCGCGTACAGTTGCCGCCAGGCCAGCGCAGTTAATGTAAATTGTAAGCGGGCTATAGTACTAGAGCTACCTGCCACGCAGTGTACGTATTCCCATGTAAGTAATTATACGTACGTGTGAGTGTGACATATATTATTCCGGATTTTTTGCGATCGCTTTCGTTGTCATTTGTTTGACAAATCACGCAAAGAACAAAGCATGAACCAGTAAGGCATGAACCAATACATGAAATAGGGCATGGAGTAATGCTAGCCCGACTGATTATACGGTCTTCTAACCCTAGCAAGACCGTTTCTTGGAGCTAGGAGCAATGCATAACGTAATGCATGACGTAAGGGATGTATGTATAGGGCATGCAGTAATGCATGAAGTAAAGCATGGACTAAGGCATGAAATGAGGCACGAATAAGGACAATAGCAAACTAAAAACTAATACCACTTCTAATAGTAATACTCTATATAGCTACTATCCAGGCTAGCCACAGGTTGCCTCCTCGCGTTTCACTACGTGTTCGTACGTTAATTAGGCCTACTACGACTGCTTCAGTCGTAGAACCTGGTTGGGCTACTATCCGGGCTACCCATAGGCTAGCTCTAGAACTATAGCCTTTCGCTCCGCCACGGGCTCTTCGCTCCTGTGGCAGAGCGAAGGGCTATAGAGTATAGTTCTGCTTCTAACCTCGATCATAACCTCATAAATGTTAGTCTTCAAAAGTCCTAGAGATTATAACGAAGACGGAGAGAGAAGTGGATCAAATCGATAGATGATGGATTCTAGACTAGAGCCACCCATATCATGGCATATGCCTGTTTGGCTCACCTGATTCCACCATAGTTTCGCCCTTGATTTTTTTCATGTCATCATCGACGTCGTATTCCGGGTCGGCGACAGGCGTGACTCGGGGCTGAGGTTTCACCTCAGCTGCCGGCGCTGCTTCCTTGATCTCCTGCTTCACCGGTGCCGCTAGAAGCGTCGGCGTACCGCCACGTACAGACGTCCCCTGTCCTTGTTTAGGAACACCGCCGGAATTGCTACTCGTCGTGCACCCCATCGCGTATTATTCATTTATCGTAACCTACACCACGCGTGTGATAGCGTTCACACAGTGCGCCTATGTACTGCGCAGGCACCTGCTGACTGTCTTTGACTTTAGCAAACGTGAATTCTGCCGTGGACGTAGGCCTAGTTTTCTGAAGCTTTTAGTTTACACAGCGGACGTCGGCATCACAGCTTTCGGTCTTCGATATAGTCCCTCGGACTCTGAAGAGTGAAGACTAATATTAACGATGCTACAGCTGCATGCGTACTCTCCGGCCGAGCTCGTGATACAGACAGTCGGCCAAATCTACCCGCCACCGGGGGATAACCACTCACAGTGTGCGCTGTTTACCGGTTGCTGTAGCAACGCCGTCATGCTGCGGTCGATTCGGTCATGTAATTGGCTAATGTTCTGACAAATCATCAGCGGGTTGTCGGTGACGTCACCGTCGCGAAATATCAGCACGCTGCATGCACCCGTATATACTGTGTTGTATATATCTATGGCATAGAAATCATATAATACATGTTTATATATATATCAATGATCTATGGTGTACCATAGTGGTACCAACGCCCGGCTTTGATGGCACCAATGCGTTCAGCTGTCACATAAATACGTTGTTGACGAGATAGTGGTAGCCAGAATATGTTATAAAATATGTATAATGGAATTATTACTTTATAGTTTACGTCATGCAGTTACAGTCACAACGTGGCACCAAATAGCATGAATTAAATGAGCATAGGTTCCTGATTAACTGTAAACGAGGTGGTATAACAACGATGAGAGCAGCAGCAGCAACAACAACAACAACAACAATAACAACAACAACACCAACAACATTAATTGCAACATTTTGTATGCAGACAAGCTGTAAATGCTGTATATAGTTTCAATTGGTATTGTTTGATGCAATGCCAGAATTAATGTAATATGGTCAAAACAACGTAAAAACCTCACGCAAGGATAGCGGAATATTACATGTGATGATTTATTTATATTATACATTATACTTTACAAACAGCGACATGCTGTCAAATGTTGCTCTCCAACCATTGACAATTACATGACCCTATCTTGTTCCATATATTTCTCAACTCCCCTGGAAATTTTCCTACATGCAAGTATTTCATAAATAGACAGCAAAACAATTCCTCGGTCATACGCATGCCTGCTGCTATAAAACAGTAAACGATTTTAAGTTACCGAGCACCCACCGCACGTTGCACCATGATTTTGTCCACCCTGCCTGGTATGACCCACGATCAGCTATCGATCACCGACTCAGCTTGCAACCTAAAAAAAAGGGTCAACCCACGACAATAGTTCTAATTATCCACCCCGCCGCGTATTCTCATATAAATAACAGTGCTGACATCTAGCGGGCAGAATAATAAGTGAAACGCAATTCACGTTTGACGTTGATACAGAACAAAAAATCGATTTAGCGCTGCCACGATTGTTTTTATCGGCGTATCTGACTAATGATTTATGTTTTCCAATGGTAACACGGCACGAAATTAAACGCTACAAGTAGTTAGAACATGAATATTTCAGTCAGTTTCGAGCGATCACACGCAAGGCTACTTGCAACTAATTAAAATGCAGTCGTTTCCATTTATCTGGCAGCAGTTCAAAATTACTTTCAATTTATTTCAATCATTTTCATTTGTTTCAGTCATATTTGTACTCATCTGACATATCATTCATTACAAACTTCTATTAAATAGATGTCATGACAACGTGGCATTGATTAAAGACATGGTTTCATCAACACACGCCTCACAACTTCTACCAAGCTAACCGTCTGCCGCGCATCTGCCAGCACCCAAAAAAAAACCTATCCCAAAATCATGCAACAAAAAGAGCACACAATGCAAAACTAGTTATGAGATTTTAACAGGTTTTGTGCAATTTAGAATCTTTTAGATTATAAGATATAGTAACTAGACAGAGGCTGCTAAATGGAGGGAACAAGCAGAATTTCATCAAAAAAACAACAATTTGTTTAGAGTCAGCCAGATTTTCATGGCCAAACATGGCGCCCGTTTAACACGTTCTAAACTAATGCATGTCACTAGGGAAGACAAGGGTTAGACAGACGAGACCAGTGTTGGCAGATTACGTTATAAATTACACTGCTACATTCTTCAATTATATAAACAACGTCGTACTGGTTCTAGTGAATGCCTTTGCCTGCTGGTGACGTGCTGACATTGTAAAAACCCACGATCTCTGCAAATTATGTACATGTCACGTTTAAAGTAAGTCAGCACGCATCAGCAAATGTGTTACACACTATGGTGGCGCCACCTGTATTACAAATCTTCCACACACTCAAAACACGCACGCACGCACGCAAACACACTGAATATGGACTTTTCTCGTGCGGTTAAAAATTCAACAGCGATGGTTTGTGATGCCACTTAAAGTAAACAAACAACCCCCGCTCTCCTCCCCAGCTCTCCTCTGCAATCACACAATCACCTCCTCAACTTACTCGCTCCACAACTTACTCGAAATTAACAACATACAGAATATAGGCTGGTAATCAAAATAGCTTGCCTTCAGAGCGGTTAGCTACCGAAAACATTTACACACGATTTTTTGTACACGATGGCACTCGATCCATCTCTCTCTCGCGCGCCATCCCCCCCAGCGTCTTTCCTCCCGCTCTCTGCACGCTAAATTATGATAGACTAACTCATGATAGCACGCGCGTGCACGTCGCCTGGCAACCCACGTCTCCTAGCAACCCGCATTGCCATGCCGACCAACAATGCGTAACAGCGGCGTGAACTCCAGCGCCGCTCTCGTGTGGGGGCGCCACCGACCGTCTCGTGACTTCTCGCCGGCTCATCTTCCGACGTCGCGCCCCGCAATTGACCTCCAGAGGTCACGTGTTCCAACACAGGCGAGAGACGCACGCGTCGACGGCGACGGCAGCAGCGGTGGCGCCCTCTCCCTGCAGCGATTCTCTAGCGTCGGGTCACCGCTGAGCGACACACCCCGCGGTCGTTGCAGAGCGCAGGCAAACAATGGACCAGCGCCACCTGCTGGCAATTGCATAGCACGCCACCTGGTGTCGTTCATGCTCTCGAGCGGACGATGGAAGCATCATGGCCGGTGAAATCTGCAAGTGTGACGAGAAATACCTGATGTGATTGTGTGATGTGAAGTTGCAACGTGCCACTTAGCAATCTACGTGATATGATCAAGTGTGAATAACAACTCATGTGTTCTATTCGCTACTAACGTGATGAATACAAGGGTTTATACTCCTTGATAGCAATAACAGCAATAAATATCTACTGCTGCTGCTGCTGCTGCTGCTGTTGTTGCTGGTGCTACTACTGCTACTGCTGCTGGTGCTACTACTGCTGCTGCTGCTGCTGCTGTTGTTGTTGCTGGTGCTACTACTGCTGCTGCTGCTGCTGCTGCTGTTGTTGCTGGTGCTACTACTGCTGCTGCTGCTGCTGCTGCTGTTGTTGCTGGTGCTACTACTGCTACTGCTGCTGGTCCTGCTGCAGATGCTGCTGGTGCTGCTGTTGTTCCTGGTGCTACTACTGCTACTGCTGCTGCTGCTGCTGTTGTTGCTGGTGCTACTACTGCTACTGCTGCTGGTGTGTGTTGCTGCTGTCTGTTGTTGCTGGTGCTGCTCTGTGCTGCTGCTGCTGTTGTTGCTGGCTGCTGATGCTGCTGCTGCTGCTGCTGCTGCTGCTCTGCTGCTGCTGCTGCTGCTACTGCTGCTGCATGAAGCTACCTACATTCCACACAGTCATGCCATACATGAGATTTCATATTCGTTGAATAAGGGCGCCACCTAGCTGCAAGTATTACCTAGTCAAGTGCCTGCTGCCTTCATGCACTTCCATCTCCGATGATTTGAAGTCGTTAAGCTCTCGCCTGATTGCTGCCTGTAAAGATAGATGAGGAATATGTGAAACACTTATTTAACAATTTAATTAACAATTTAATTATATTTAATTAAGGCATTTCATTAATCAATCGCATCACACACTCAACCAACCGCTGCGGCTGGACTGGGAAACCTCTCACGAGAGAGCGCCAGCGTACAACGATATACTCGCCGTGCGCGATATAATATCCCGATACACTATAAATATGATCGATTCTTACACCACATATTATATAATTAAATAAAAATATATTTGTGATAAAAATCGCATAAAAATCATTTTAAATATACATTTACAACATTATGTATTATATATTGTAATTATATAAATATATATTCCTGACTTTTTGTGAAACTGTGCAAATATAGATATTACACTTATTAAATATATAACATAGTGACTAGTATAACATATATTCTACATAATATACACACATATATAGAAACTCATATTAGAAATTTCCGTTCGCCGCGACCCCGATGAGGAGTTGGCGTGCCGTCGCCGTGGTTACCTTGTCTTTTGGCGTGAGGCGCGTCCAGGGTTTGTCCGCTCGTCGGTCGTAGATGTGAGCCTCTGTCACCTCGACGTAGTCGTTGAACTGGATGATCTTACGCTCACGCAGCTCCTCAATCGTAGTGGCCTTGAAGCCTCAGCCTGTCGCCAAAGAGATAGTGAGTCCGTGAGCGAAAGCACTATGATAGACCGTTACACCATCGCATGCGCACATTGCTGCCAACCAGCCTATCATATTCTCTGCACAACGCATGGCCCAATTCTGGCAGTGACATAGCTTCCCAGGGAGCCTCCCACGATTGAGGAGTGCTGCCACTTATCTCAGCTCCGTGAGCGCTAAGGATCACTCGCCCCACCTGTTTTCACCAGGTTCGACTCACGCTTCGAAGGTGGACAAGAGGCTCAAACCCAAATGACTTCGACCCAAACGGGCGATAACCTTGCTAGGCATAGAGCGTGGACTACACCATCGCAATGGCATTGTGCTTGCACCAGCCTATCTCACGCCCCCCCACCCCACCCCCGATCAACAAGCGCGGCGCGGGATATTGTACGAAAATACGGCACGCAAACTCTAACACCATCCGCAATCCTTGGGGACGGGGCGCCACTCGCACCCTCGCAACAACTAAACCACATATCTCAGCGCCTCCCCCGGCTCTCACACCGATCCAACAACGGCGACGTGCCCCACGCCCAAGATATCTGTTCCAGCATCACTCGCCTAATCCCTACTTGACACCATCGCAATGGCCATGCTGCAGCCGGCCTATCTCAGGCCCCCCCAATCGCCAAGGCGATATTGTAGATAGACCGTTACACTATCGCATGGCCATGCTGCCACCAGCCTATCTCAGCCCCCCCCCCCCCCAATTGCCAAGGACGCGATATTGTAGATAACCGTTACACCATCGCATTGGCCATGCTGCACCCAGCCCTATATCAGATCCCCCCCCCCCGATCACAAGGCGATATCATAGATAGGTGAGTGAGAAGAGGAAGAAGACTTATGCAACACTCATCTGCTGCACGTTTTAAAACGTGGGCGAAAAACAAGTTTAGAAAAAGGAAAAAACTAAAGATTGCTGCGAACGACGTCATTCCATCGCGGGCACGCAACGTTAGCGCATGCGCCGCTCCGATAAAAACAAGAACAGCTGCAAGCCCGTGAAAAATAGACGCGAGTATACCCTCATAGCTGCGCTATGCCATATCATGTTTTACCCCCACCTAACCTTGACCTGAAGAACTAGGGAAATCCACGCACGCATGTAGCGGGAGAGAACAGCTTCTAGGCAGAGATTTTCGACGTGACGAGCGGATGTTCGCGGTTTATCCTAATCTTATCTCATAATTTATTTTCGCCCGGCCAGGGAGGCAACAACAGCAATGGCCGGGCTTTCGCGGTCGTCACGGCAACCGCATCGTGTGAATCGCCGTGAGTGGTGGGTGGGGGGAGCGTACCTTTCTCAGGAGCAGTTGTTTCTTCTCTTCCATCTGGCGTTGGTGCTCGGCAGTAGACACCTCTGCAATAACGCACGAGAAAAAACACGCATTTCAGCAGCGGCCCATATTCCCTTCACACCTCAAGAGAGAGACATCTGAAACCCGGCTTCAACCTGTGACATTAGTCTCGAGTTTGTCTCATCACGTTTTCTTTCACGCTGATATTACAGACACTTTGTGGAATTACTAGCGCAAAATCGCTACCGTCAGACAATTGTCGCCCTGCTGAGGACATAGTCACGTTCACAGACAGACAGCACACTCAAACTCAAACTCAGCATTTTTTTCATTTTGCATATAAATTGACGGATCCATTGTGCTCGTCTGGCAAGTGCGTCTGCCACGGATGCCTGTGGTGAAACAGAACTCAGGCAGAATCACTTACATTTGAGTAAGCTGATAATGCAGCATCACTTACATTTGAGGATGCTGATAATGCAACATGACTTACATTTGAAGATGCTGATAATGCAGCATCACTTACATTTGAGGATGCTGATAATGCAACGTGACTTACATTTGAAAATGCTGATAATGCAGCGTCCATTACATTCAAGGATGCTGACAATGACAGCATGACTTATATTTGAAGATGCTGATAATGCAGCATCACTTACATTTGAGGATGCTGATAATGCAACATGACTTACATTTGAAAATGCTGATAATGCAGCGTCCATTACATTCAAGGATGCTGACAATGACAGCA